AGAAGAGAAGAGAAGAGAAGAGAAGAGAAGAGAAGAGAAGAGAAGAGGGAATGGGAATAGAATAGGACAGAATAGAATAGAATAGAATAGAATAGAATAGAATAGAATAGAATAGAATAGAATAGAATAGAATAGAATAGAATAGGAAAAATAGAATAGGAAAGAATAGAACAGAAATAGAAATAGAATAATAGAATAGAACAGAACAGAATAGAATAGCCCTTGGACTTATACCCATTTTACAGCCCTCTCTAAGCTGTGTACAGAGTCAGCCTCTTGCCCCCAACAATCTGGGTCCTCGTTTTACTGACTTCGGAAGGACGGAAGGCTGAGTCAACCTTGAGCCAGTCAGGACCAAACTGCTGGCTGCGGGCAGAGTCCGCCTGCAATCCTGCCTTCTAACCACCGCGCCACCACGGCTGTCCCATTCGTGTACCTTAGCGCCCTCCATGCACACTAACGTGCTCTCCGCTGATGAGGTTACCTAGTTTGGTCACGAAACGTCTGCAAGGAACCCCACGCCGCTCAGAGAGCACCAAGGACCCCCCCCCCCCCCCCCCCCGCCCCAAACAGTTCAACCCCCGAGTTACAAATATTCTACGGAAATAACTCTCCCTCTTCTCCCGCCCGCTCTCTACAGAAGCCTGCGGGGCCACAGTGTGTTCCTTCGGGGCAAAGTGCATGGATGGGCGGTGCCTCTGCCCCCCTTGCGAGCAACAGCCCTTGTCCCGCGTCTGTGGAAGCAACGGCGTCACGTACAGCAACGAGTGCGAGCTGCGCCTGGCGGCTTGCCAGCAGAAGGAAGAGCTGGAGGTGGAGAAGAGGGGCCCGTGTGAAGATGGTGAGCTTTCCGTGCCCAGCGGTCTCAACGCCGGTTCCTTCCCTTCTTCCCAGGCTCACGTGCCATAGCTTTGCCATCATGGCCTTAAGATGTAGAGCAGGGGTGTCCAACCTTGGCAACTTTAAGACTTGTGGACTTCAACTCCCAGAATTCCTCAGCCAGCAAAGCTGGAAGTTGAAGTCCACAAGTCTTAAAGTTGCCACGGTTGGACACCCCTGATGTAGAGATGCTCAGCTCTATTCTGGGCGACAAGCTACTTTTTTAAAATAAAAATAAAAATTCAAACGGAGGAATTTATTCCTCCCCCACCCCCCCCCCCCCCAAATTAAAAATTTATAATAATCCACCCTGGGGGGAAAAAGACTTGTGGAAATCTTTTGATCGGTTTTTTTTGGGGGAAGGCTTTGGTTCTGCACCTCTGCTCACTCTCTCTCTCCCAAAGAGAAAAATATTGGGCTTGGTTCTTTTGGGTGGGGGGTGTGGAGAGAATCAAACTTGCTGGAAAATGCCACAAAGTCTTGGAAAAGGTGGGTTTGTGTGGGTAAGGAGCTGGGCACGTCCCAAATCCCTCCTCCTGGGTTCAAATCCCGCATCTCTGATTCCTAGCCCCTCCGACTTCAATTGGGCAAGCATTGGAAAGGGGGTGGAATGTCACCCGGATTGGGGTGGGGTGGGGGGCTGTACATGGGGGCTTGTATGTAGGAGCTGAGACGAGGAATTGGGGGCGGGGGGCGAAGTAGCTTCTGCCTCCCCCCCCCCTTGTGTCCCTTCTTCCCTGCTGTGTCTGGGGCCCGTCTCCCTCTCCTCCGCTTTCCCTCCCTGCCCCATCTCTCTCTTTCCTTCTCATTGTCTCTTTAGCTGCCAATAATGAAGGGCGATGGCTGGTAACAAGGCTCCACCAGGAGAGCTTTCAATGCTTTAATTTCACACTTCAGAGCGTTGAGGGAGGTGAGGGAAAGGGAGGCTTTTGCTCTGTTTCTCCCATCCCTTCTTCTCTCCCTCCCTCCCTTCCTCTTTCCTCCCTTCCTTCTTCTTTCCCTTCTATCCTTCCGCCCTCCCTTTTCTCTTTTTCCTTCCTTCTTTCTTCTTCCTTTCTCTCCCTTCATTTCCCCTCTAACTCCCTTTCTCTTCCCTCTCTCTTTTCCTTCTTCCTTCCCTTCCTCTTTCCTCCCTTCTTTCCCTCCTTTCCTTCTATCCTTTCTCCCTCCCTCCCTTCTCGCTCTTCTTCCTTCTTTCTTCTCTTCTTTCCTTCCCTTTTCTTCTCTCCTTTCCTCCCTCCTTTCCCCTCTCTCCTCCCTTCCCTTCCACATTTCCTCCCTTCCTGTCTTCAGTCCCTCTTTCCTTCTCCCTCCCTTTTCTCTCTTCTCCCTTCTTCCTTCTCTTCTCTCCTTCCTTTCTCTTTTCTCCCTCCCTCCTTTCCCCTCTCTCCTCCCTTCCCTTCCACATTTCCTCCCTTCCTGTCTTCAGTCCCTCTTTCCTTCTCCCTCCCTTTTCTCTCTTCTCCCTTCTTTCTTCTCTTCTCTCCTTCCTCCTTCCTCTTTTCTCCCTCCCTCCTTTCCCCTCTCTCCTCCCTTCCCTTCCACATTTCCTTCCTTCCTGTCTTCCGTCCCTCTTTCCTTCTCCCTCCCTTTTCTCTCTTCTCCCTTCTTTCTTCTCTCCTTCCTTTCTTTTTTCTCCCTCCCTCCTTTCCCCTCTCTCCTCCCTCCCCTTCCTCATTTCCTCCCTCCCTTCCTTCATCCATCCATCTAGATCTCTCCCTCCCTCCCTCCATTTCTTTCCTTCTCTTCCTCCCTCACGGCTTAATACCCGGATGAGAAAAACCACCATAAAACACCCGAAATCTTGCTTAGACTGAGAAGTCAGACCAGAAAAAGGCAGTGTTCCCTTCCACGCTGTTACCAAGAAAGCCACCCATGAGAGATCAAATGGAGATAGAAAGAGGAAAAAAGGGGCATTTTCTTCACAGAAGGCCTTATCTCTGTCCTCAAGATCCTGTACATGTTTGGCCTGAAAGTTCATTCAAGCCATTTTTATGGTTTCTGTGGGGCATCTATTGAGATGCATCTGGGCAGCAGCCAGGAATTGAACCCAAATCAGAGAGCGCCCCCCCCCCCATGTTGATCATCAGGTCTAGAAACCTGGCTTGGTTTTCAGCAAGGGGCGGACTATCTCATATGTCAACTCATAAAATATTTCTCTGGTCCTTTTAGAGTTGCCAACAGAAAGAGAGAGGGGAGCAGTGCAGCAGCTTGCAAACCAAAAGTGCATTCCATAAATGTTTTCAAAGATAGTAACTAGGTGACCGAAGTTTCTGCCGGGCTAAAAGCTAACTGGAGAGCCTGATGGATGACTCTTGGCTATGGATGTGTCCCATTGGAGAATATGATTTATGACACACCCAGGGGATGGGGGGGGAAAGCAGGGTCAAGGGTGACAACGAATGATGTGTCTCAGAGTTGGCTACACCCAGGCAGTGCCAGACATGTAAATCCTTTGGAAGTTTTGGAAGTTTGGCTCGAGACTCGTGATTTAAATGGAGTTAAATGCCGGAATCCTGACATCATGACGGTATAAGGGGATACACAACCCTGATGTGCTTCTTTCGTGCAGAGTGCGGCTCGGGCGATGGGTCTGGCTCCGGAGATGCCATCGAGTGCGAGAGAGACAGCTGCCGGAAGTACGGGGGTTCGTGGGACGAGGATATGGAGGATGACCGTTGTGTGTGCGACTATACCTGTGGGACTGTACCACAGAACTTGGTAAGAGGAGATTTCCCCATGAGCACCTGCATAAGCAAAAGGTTGGTCTAGATCAGAGGTGTCCAACTTGGCCACTTTTAAGACCATGGACTTCCAACTCCCAGAATTCCCCAGCCAGCACAGCTGGGAGTTGAAGCCCACAAGTTTATTTTTTTTAAGTTGCCCAAGTTGAATGCCCCTGGTTTTGATGCTTTCCAGAACACCTGGATATTCTGTGGCAGGCTTTTTGCAAAGCGTCATTTTGGAGGGCTGAGTTAAATCCTCCGTTGTGTCTTTTAATGCTTCTCTGCCCTCTGGGTTGTGGCTTTTTTTTTTTTTTTTTTTGTTTCTCATTAATTTCCCTGGCATGCATTTGCATATTTTATGGACGGGAAAGTGGAAAGCGCAGGAACTCCGTGCATGTATGACATCCTGGATGCCGGCAGATGTGTTCTCCGTACCAGGGAGATGGGAACGAAGGCTTCCTTTGATTTTTATTTTTTTATTTTTCTCCCTCTGTGATGCCAACAAGATCACAGGCAGAATTCTCTAGGATTCTGTCCAACCTGCTTGTTTAACTTGCCAGGCTGAACCTAAATCCGAACCTCAAATCTGTAAGAATAATTTTTTTTCCCTCCCTGAAAGAGCCCTGGATGGCTGCCAGCCTTTTCGAGTACCTAAAATGGTGCCGTTCGGATACTCCCTTGGGGTAGAACCGCACAAGTGATACACCCACGGCTGGGAATCAGCTGGGCTTTACACCGAGGCTCTTACCCATGAGTAGGCCTGCTCCCAAAGGAGGCACTGACCATCCAAGGCTGTCTCTCAGATTCGGGCTTGCTTTGCTAGATGCCCGCCTGCCATAGACTATTTTGGGTGAGAACAGGGGAACTGAAACCATTCACCGAGCGGAATGGCACAGCTCGCCGCAGGACAATTTTAACAACTCCATTTCATGATATTAATCTTTGCCATTCGCATTTCATGCCTTCTCTCCTTTGGCATCCTTCCTTTAATGATTCCACTCCGCTGTGTCTTCGATATTAGTGTAACTCTTGCCCCACGGCGAGTTCTCTCGCCGTGGGAGAATTGTTCCGTGGTGAATTGTCGTAGACCCTTCCCAAAAGACATCAGCTGGTCATCCCAAGGCCAGAGAGGGAAATGCAACGCCTCACTGTCTAGCCCGCCGATGCACGCAGTGTTACCAAAAACAGTTCTTTCGAATGAGACAGGACAATAGGGAGATAACGGGAGGGTCGGTGGCCTAGAGGTGGCGCTCTCGCCTCACAGTCCAGAGGCTGATATTTCTCTCTCTGGGCACAATGAGAATATATCTACTGAATAAAACCTCCGCATTGGCGACAGGAAAGGCAACTGGCCAGTAAACATTCCGCTCCATTCAGTGGCCCCGACTCTCCCCACAAGGGATTACGGGGGATCATTAAACGACAAACAACACAGGGAGATAATGGGAGAGGAAGAAGAAAGCGAACGTTAACTGGGGAAACTTCAGGCACAAACCTTTAGTTCTGGCTTTAATTTCCTTCTGACAAAGCGATTCCTTTCACAACAAATGGAGCCCAGGATGGTTTCAACTCGGGAGGAGGGGGGGGTCCAAGATGAGGCGGGCCTGACATTCCTATTCTTTCTATAACAAGCCCCCCCCCCCCCCCCCCCCCCCCCCCGACGTAGGTGTGTGGATCGGACGGGGTGGCCTACGCTAATGAGTGTGAGCTGAAAAAATCCCGCTGCGAGAAACGCCAGGACATTTACGTGGCAAGCCAGGGACCCTGCCAAGGTAATTTCAGGCTGGTGGGAAGTAAAAGATTTTGGAGAGGTCTTCCGGACATCGAACAACCAGAAACTACCAGCCCGGCGGGGTTTTCTTCTTGGCCCGAAGGAAGTAAATCGACTCTGTTCTTTGGAAGGACAGATGCTGAAGCTCAAACACTTAGGCCACCTAAGGAGAAGCGAAGGCTCCTTGGAGATGTTGGGAAAGGTGGAAGGCAGAAGGAGAAGGGAATGGCAGAGGACGGGGATGGTTCGATGGTGTCGTTGGCCCAGTGGGTATGAGATTGGGCAGTCTCAGGCAGAGGTGGTATTCAGCCAGTTCTGGAGAACCGGTAGCGGAAATTTTGAGTAGTTTGGAGAACTGGCCAATCCCACCTCTGACTGGCCCCGCCAACCCCACCTCTTCTCTGCCTCCCATTGAGTCCCAGATGATCGGCTGGGTCTCCTTGGGTTGCCCTGCACAGCAGAATGGAGCTGGAAAGCAGGTTAGTGGGGTGGGGAGGGAAGGGGGATTTTGCAGTATATCCTTCCCCTGACGTGCCCACCAAGCCAAGCCACGCTCACAGAACCGGTTGTAAAAAAAATGTTTAATCCCACCACTGGTCTCAGGGAGGTGGTAGAAGACAGGGGGTGGGGGCTGGCATGATCCATGGGGTCGCGAAACAACTGTATAGCTTACTTGCTGGTGGCCTCGTCATTAAAAAAGAGATTTTTTAAAAATTTTCCTTCCAGGGGTCCCAACGCTTCCGTCCTCTTCGCCAGAACTCCTTCACTGTAGCAAAACCGTTTACGGCTGCTGTCCAGACAACATGACTTTAGCCCTTGGAGTGGGGTCGGCTGGATGCCCCAGTAAGTCGATGCCACTCTTCGGGGGCCTGGGACGAGGCTTTTCAAGGGGTCCCCCCTCCCCGGCACGCTTCGGGGTGGGGGGTCCCGGGAGAGAGAGAGAGAGAGAGCACGCTCCCCTTACCCCAATCTATTTCGTCTTTTCCCTCGCCTCCCTCCGCAGCCCACCCATTGCAGGCTTTTATTAATTTTTTATGGAATAATTAGCCAGAGCCATCTTGTCCGCCTAACGAGACGAGGAAAGAGTCGGTGGCATTTTAAGCAGCTGAGGCCACGAAGGCCAGCTGGTTAGCGGGGCGTCCATTAGAGCGGCTGCCGGGAACGCCACGGCCCTGTTCGCGGTTCGGTAGAGGTGTTTCGTTCACCGGGTCATTTGTTCAGCGGGGTGGCCGTGTTCCAAAAGCGATTTTAATGGCTCTGGAGATCTTGACCTAGAGAGCTGTAGAATCCACAGAAATTGGCAGATTTTCCCCCCTCCTGGAGGGGGTCGCCTCGATAATTGATGCGGTGAAGTCGCGCAGCTGGAAATTAAAATATCACGTCTGCCTAGGAGCACTCGGGGGGGCGGGGGAGAAGAGCTTGGAGGGGGAAGCATCTAGCTCAGCCTGAAGTCCCCACCCTCCTTCCCAACCAGGCCTGGGGCAATACTTTCATTCATTTGTTTGTTTGTTTGTCAAACATGTACAAGATAACAAGGGCAGGAATAATAAGCAGGCATAACAGGAACAAAGGAAATAAGTACAAATAAATGGGGACAGTAAGACAGGGATGGTAGGCACACTGATACGCTTATGCACGCTCCCTTAAGGACCACTTAGGAATGGGGTGAGGTCCACAATAGACACTTTAAGGTTAAACTTTGTGGGGTGGGTGGGTTTGAGGCTGTGACAACAGAGTCAGGCAATGAGTTCCAGGCATTGACCCCTCTGTTGCTGGAGTCATATTTTCTGCAGTCAAGTTTGAATCTTGAGTTTGCATCGATTGTTTGCCCGTGTATTATTGTGGTTGAAGCGGAAGGGGTCGTTGACAGGCAAGACGTTGCAGCAGACAATTTTGTGTACTTATGCTTAGATCGGGAGCGTAAGGCGGCGCAGTTCCAGATTGACCAAGCCCAAAATTTCAAACCTGGTGTGGCATAAGGGATTCAATTGCGAGTAGAGGAGTGGAGAACTTTTCCCATGAAATGCCTCTTGATCATGATAATTATCTGATACACAGTGTGGGAAATTCTTTTCTTGTGACTTCCGTGGCAGCTTGTTTATTCCGTTCATTCGGGAGGGTGCCTGACTTGACTGTCCCATCTGTGGAAATCCCTAAATTTTGACTGTGTGCTTGACGGTGGGGGGGGGGGGGGTTCACCACAGACTCCCCCCTTTCCTTCCCAGAGGTTTATTCTGGGAAATTCCCATTAGGGCTGCGTTGGAACCAATTGCATCCCCCAACAGAACCTTAAGCATCTCTTCTACCACAAAATAATGAGGACTAGCAATCTGAGCTATGCTATTGACAGGCCGAGTTAACAATCACCGGGCCAGAGGGCCAGCTAATCAGTGGAATAGCTTGTGGGTGCTCCATCTTTGGAAGTTTTCAAAAATAGACAACTGTTTGACTGGGATGGTTTATGGTCTGCCATGAACAGGGGGGTTAGACTACTAGAAGAATATCTATGGATATTCTCAGTTATCCAGGTCATGGTCAAAAGAGGTCATCTGCATTAAAATCGAACAGCCCTCTCTCACACTACCTGTCTCCTGTTTACATAACGGCCCTTTCAGCAGTTCCAAGGAGGTTCCACACCCATTTGCACTATCCAAGTGACCCTGAGGGTCACAGATAAACCCTCCAAGTGGCCTCAACAGCTCAGAAGGAGTTCAAGGAAGATAAATCATTCCCTTCCCCACCATTCAGCCAGAACCGAAGAAGCTTCTTGGATGAGAAGCGAAACATCTTCAAGGAAAAATAAAGTCCAGTTACCGCTGGAAAAAAAGTACCTTTGGGTCAGACTAGAAGACCTTCGAGGTCCCTTCCAGGCCTAGAATTCTCCATTTTATGTAGCTCTCTTTTGAAGAAGCTTCTTCGCCTCAGTTGGGATGCTATCAATTGGGGTGGTATTGGGAAACCTGTCCCGGGGGGCTGCGGGCTCTCCTGCCGAAGCAACTTGATGTTAGGCATCCAGAAATTGTCCATGGTAACCAATCGCTCTGAGAGAAGTATAATCTCCAACTGATTTATTAGGAACAGCTCCGGTATGTCTATGGCAATTTCCAAAAGTGAAAGTCATTTTCAGCACCTTTCACAAAACCCACCTTCTCTCCTCCCACTTCTACGCTTCATTAGTCACGAGAACCAATTAACTGCAGCTGGAATTTTTTTAATGCGACATACGGAGCTTTCCAACTCCTCCACCCCCCCTTTCCATTCGTGGCAGCTGAATCTCAGAGCTGACACTTGAGAGCTAACCCTTCCCTGCCTCCTGTCTCTTAGGCACTTGCCACTGTAACCCCTACGGCTCCTACGGAGGGAGCTGTGATCCCAGCATAGGCCAGTGCTCCTGCAAACCCGGCGTCGGGGGGCTGAAGTGCGACCGCTGCGAACCCGGTTTCTGGAACTTCCGCGGCATC